ACGCTCCTGGCGCACGCGGGATTAACCTCTGCCGCGCTGTCCCCCGCCCGGCCCCCTGTGGGACTAGCTCCACGGCAAGCTGAAAACTGCCCCCCTGTGGCCTGCCCCACAAGCAGATGCCAGGGCTCTAGCCCCACCCATCAGGGGCTGTGCTCCCCTGCATGGCAGGGCGGATCCATCCAGCTGAACGTCCCTCCAGAGTGCCATCTGCTGGTCAAATGCACCAGTTACAGCTGGCCAAAGGTGCACTGGCACGCGTCCCCTACGCTGCCCAATGTGCTGGTGGATTTCAGTGGCGCATGGGCCACCAGAGGCAACATTCAGGTTCTTGGGACCCAGCCCTCATCATTAGCATTGTCTGTGTGTCCCTGGCATCAGTGCGCTAGGCACTGGACATTCAGTGAGAGACAGGCCCCGCCCAAAGGGAAGGGACTAGATGGACAAAGGGTGGGGGAGAAACAGAGGCAGGAAGTGACTTACCCAAGGTCACACTGGGACTAGAACTAGGGTTGCCAGGTGTCCGGTTTTTGACCAGAAAGGGAGCTGCGGGGGTGGCGCCTGCAGGTGCAAGGGGAGCGCACAGAGCCTTCCTGGCCACCCATGCGCCTAGGGGCTGGAGGGACCTGGCGGCCGCTTCCTGGGAGCCGTGGTAAGTGCCGCCGGGACCCTGCACCCCCTCCCGCACCCAAACCCCTGCCCCAGCCCAGAGTCCCCTCCCACACCTAAACTCCCTCCCTGGAGCCCGCACCCTGCACCCCCTCCTGCACCCCAAACCCCTCATCCCCAGCCCCACCCCAGAGCCCACACCCCCAGCCGGAGACCTCACCCCCCTCCCAGACCCCAATCCTCTGCCCCAGCCTGGTGAAAGTGAGTGAGGGTGGGGGAGAGCGACGGAGGGAGGGGGATGAAGCGAGTGGAGGCGGGGCCTCGGAGAAGGGGCAGGGGCTCAGGGAAGGGGCGGGGCAGGGGTGTTTGGTTTTGTATGATTAGAAAGTTAGCAACCCTAACTAGAACCCAGGTCACCTGATTCATTAGCCAAAGTCACTAGCTACTAGCCCACACTGCCGGCCAGATCCTGCCCTTGGCCACTCCTGGGCAGCTCCAGTGGCATTGGTGGGAGCTGCGCCCAGCCCGAGCTGGCCCCGGATGCCCCGCAAGGGGCAGCATGCAGCTCTGCTTTACTCTCGGGGGCTTCCGCCAACCTGCCTGTGTTTCTCTTGCAGGAGGCTTTGAGTCGAGGCCCCTGGTGCGCGGCATTCAGGGGCGCAGCGTCAGCATGAAAGTGTCCCCCACCAAGACCAAGCTGGGGGCCACCAAGCCAGTGCCCCTCCGTTGGTCCTTTGCAGCCAGAGACAGGCCACAGGCTGCGTCCGGGGAGCTGGTGGAATACCTGGAATCTGGGCGCAGGCCCCGGTACACCAACGAGTCCATCGTCCCCCTCATGACAGGGGGCAGCGAGAACACCCCGGTGCCGGCAAGGCCTCCGCAGAACCCGGCCGCGGCTGGGAAGGACCAAGGGGCCGGCAGGGCTGGTAGGGCGAGTGGGAATTCCCCAGGTGCTGTGGGGGGTGCTGCAGAGAGCCACGGCAAAGCGTCCCCAGCCACCGAGATGGCCGGGACCCTGAAGAGGAGCAGCAAACCAAAGGAGGAGGCGGGCCAGCCGCAGAGGACATCCAAGAAGCTAGAACTGCCCGTCAACGCGGGGGCCCCCTGGAAAGCTGAGGAGCCAAAGACCAACGGGAGCAAAGTGAACTCCAATGGGGCGGCCCGCGCGGGCACCCTGCCCCACCCACACCGCTCCCAGAGGGCCAGAGGGGCACCGGGCAGGGACGGGGACCACGACCAAAGAACCCCCGCCAAGCCCGGGGAGCACGGCAGGGACAGGGACCCCGAGGCCGAGAGGCAGCTGGAAGGGAAGTTCACCATCTTCAGGGCTGGCTTCCTGAAGAAGGAGCCCAAGCAGCCTGGCGAGTCAGAGCGGCCCCACGCCTCGGAGCCAGCCATGGGCTCCTCCCGGACGTCGCTCTCCAATGGCACCCTGAGCATCATCAGTGAGGGCAGGGCCAACGGCACACTGGGCCGGCGGGGCAAGGAGGGCCAGGCCAATGGCAGGATCAGCCGGTCCGAGGTGGACATCAAGCGCTCGCAGAGTTCCGCCAGCATCCACAGCAAGGCCGACTGGGCGCTGCGCAGGTCGGCCTCCCTCTACAAGAACGGCAGCAGCGGCCACCAGCACAGCCGCAGCGTGCCACTGGAGAAGGTGGCCTGTGGCACCTTACAGAGGGTCAAGTACCACACGGCCTCCCTGGGCAGGAAGAAACCAGTGCCTGAATCCAGCTTCTAACCCGGAGCTGCTGGGGGCTGGAGGACGAGCGCGGCTACTGCTATAAGCCAGGGCAACCAGGGTCGGAGAGAGGAAATGGACAAACCCAGCGGGAGGCTGCAAGGGGCTGTGATGTCCATTGAGGCCGCGTTGGTCTGATCTCTGGGTTCCCAGGTCCCGCTGGGGCTGGGTCCAGTTCTCCTTCCCTAGGATTGCTAAGGGAGCCGTCTTCTGCCGTGCCCCTGATGCCTGGTCTCTCTCGAGTGTGTAGGGGACGGGGCTCCCTGCACAACCCATGCCTTAATAGGACAGCACCCAGCACAGGGCTGCTGAGATCGGGGGCGGGGAATGAGCGGCGGGGAGAACAGAGGAAGAGTATTTATTCTATACGCAGAGAGAGTTTTATTCACGCAGCGTCAACGACGCTTTTTGTTTTGTAAAAGGCGACTATTTTTCGTACCAAGGACGGGATGGGGATGGGGATGGGGGGGAGGAGGGAGAAGTGGGGGATCATTTACGCACCAAGGTCTATGCAATAATAAAGTCTTCTACTGAGCTTTTGTATGCGGGGGCCTGGCTGGCCGCACACGCTGGGGTTTTGCAGAGCTTTCTATTAAAGCCGTATCAAACAAGCACTGAGCTGGGGACATTGGGCAGTGGCTCCTGTGGGGAGAGAGTCCCACGGAGGGTGGGCTATGGAGGAGGCCGAACGTCTGTCTGCTTCTTGGGCTGACGCTGCCTGGGTTGGGGAGTTCCTGCACTCCAGAGATTGTTGGGTAAACCCTCAAAGCTTGAATCTCCTGTGCCCAATGTGTCACTGACCCCCCCCCAATGCCCTGTGCCACTGTGTCATTGACCCCCCCAGTGCCCTGTGCCCCTGTGTGTCACTGACCCCCCAATGCCCTGTGCCCCTTGTCACTGACCCCCGCAGCGCCCTATGCCCTGTGTGTCACTGACCCCCCCCAGTGCCCTGCGCCCCTTGTCACTGACCCTCCCAGCGCCCTATGCCCCGTGTGTCACTGACCCCCACAGTGCCCTGCGCCCCTTGTCACTGACCCCCCCCTGTGCCCTGTGCCCCTTGTCACTGACCCCCTCAGTGCCCTGCACCCCCTGTGTGTCACTGACCCCCCCAGTGCCCTGTGCCCTTGTCACTGAGCCCCCCCAGTGCCCCTATGTGTTACTGACCCCCCTAATGCCCTGTGCCCCTTGTCACTGACCCCCCCAGTGCCTGTGCCCCTGTGTTTTACTGACCACCCCAGTGCCCTGCACCCCCTGTGTCACTGATCCCACCCTGCACCCCTTGTCACTGACCCCCAGTGCCCCATCTGTATCTGACCCCCTCACACACATACCCCATGTGTCACTAACCCCCTCTGTGCCCGAGACCCTGTGTGTCACTGGCTCTTGGCCCCCACACACCGTGTGACTGACCCAGTGCCCCATGGCTCACGGCTCACTGACCCCAGTGCACAGGGCGTATGAACAATCCCGTGGGTGAGTTACACGCTGGGCACTGGGCTGAATGACACCCCGAGGGGCAGGGCCGCAGAGACACACACAGGGCCTTTCCCCTTGGCTGGCACTTGCCTGAGCCCAGGGTGCCTAGACCAGCGGCTGGCTGGGTAAGGGCCTGAGGATGAGTCACTTTATGGCACCATGGCCCACTGGGGGCCGTGTCTGAGGTGCTGCCAGAGGGGTGGTGGGGAGAGCGAAGGGCCAGGCAGGCAGCACTTGAATCTCCTGTGCCCAATGTGTCACTGACCCCCCCAATGCCCTGTGCCCCTGTGTCACTGACCCCCCCCCAGTGCCCTCCAGGCATAGCCCCATTCAGTTCAGGGGCTCTGGGAGGAGGAAGGGCAGCAGACTGGCAGGCACAGGCCCACAGGGATGGGCACGGGCGCTTTGCTGGAGTGACACTTTGTGCCCCAAGCCGAATGCCAGCCCCTGCCAAGGACTCTGGAGTCACCTGCTCTGCTCTCCAGCTGGCCACAGCTTCGTCCTTCAGCCCACAGGGCTGCTGCTGCAGGCCCCCTCCCCGGCCAGGGGTCTCACCGCGATGGCAGGGCCCAGCGCTAAGTATCTGGCCCCGCATCTGTCTCCAGGAAAGGCCTGAGCAGAGGGAAGATAAACAGTCCTGTTCCTGGGCTGAGCGCTGCTCACCGCTGGGCTGCCCCAGCTCTATGGGGACCAGCGGCAAGCGGAGCTGACTAACGGGCTAGCTGGACGTCCAAACAGAGGGCAATCCTGGGTCAGCCAGCCCAGGACTGCCCTCGTATGAGTCAGGGAGCGAATGGGGGCTGGAGATGGAGGGGAGCTCAGGGAGCGATTGGGGGGGACTGGAGGGCAGGCAGGAGATGGATGGGGGGCTCAGGGAGTGATGGGGGCTTGGGGGCTGGAGATGGATGGGGGCTG